TTTTCCATTATGCATGTCATTATCTTCACATACCTTCACATGCATAGTGGATTGTCATCATAAGTTGAAGAGGATCTCCACAAGCACAACCTGCCATGTGCATTTGCATTCCAAAAGCAAACTACTTATATGCACATCTTCAGGGGGAGCCCTTGCAACTTATGAAGACAATTCCTTATCCTTTACAATTTCACATATTATATTCCCCGTTGAAAACTTCAACTAGTTTGTCATCAATCACCAAAAAGGGGGAGATTGTAAGTGCATCTAGTGCCACCCCTAGTTGGTTTTGGAGTATTGACGACAAACCTAGTTGAGGGACTAATGTGTTTGTGAGAATTGCAGGATAACACAGGTAGAAGTCCCCCATTGATTCGGTTTTCCTACCAGAGATGACCCCTAAAAATGTATGAAGACATTGAAGTCAAAGGTGGTATATGAAGACATTCACATTGAAGACTATGACAAGAGAAGACATCGCATGAAGCCTATGGAGCTCGAAGACTTAAATCTTTCATAGTTCTTTTTCTTCTTTGTTGAGTCATAGGAACCACCGTACTGTTAAGTTGGGTCCAAGAGAACCAGTCAGAATGACTGAAGTGATGCCTAACCAAAACCTATGTCTTCGAGTGAAGACTATGAGAGCGAATCTTGTCCAGAGTCGGACAAGTCAGCTTTGCTTGTAGCCCAAGTAAAGTTGCCCTGTGAGTTTGAAATCTGACCGTTGGAACACGTGTCAGTTCCTTAGTGACCCAGGGTCATTTCGGACAAATCAGGTCGGGTTGCCCAGTGGCTATAAATAGCCCACCCCCTACAACCAAAAATGGTTGGCTGCTCAGAGTTAGTATACGGCTTTTGTCGTCTGAGAGCAACCCACCTCGAAGCCTTTGAGAGAGAATTCCTTGCGAGGATAAAGCCCTAACCACCCAGAGCCAAAGAGAATTAGGCATCACTTAAGTCTTCTTGTCTGTGTGATCTGAAGACTTATTACACTTGAGGACTGTGAATCCTACAGCCGGTTAGGCGTCGCGTTCTGAGCATCCAAGAGACATTGTGGATTGCCGGTGAACGAAGTCTGTGAAGGTTTGGGAGTCTACCTTGAAGACTTACCAGAGTGATTGGGCGAGGTCTGTGTGACCTTAGCTCAAGGGGAATACGGTGAGGACTGGGTGTCCTGAGCTGCGTGTTCAGGACTGGGTGTCCGGGACTGTGTGTCCTCAGGTTTAAATACCTAGTCGCCCTAACCAGACGTACAGTTGTCACAGCAACTGGAACTGGTCCAACACATCATTGTCTTCAACGAGTCACTGGTTTCATCCTTCCCTTCTCTTTACGTACTGTTACTCCTTGTGAAGTCATTGTATGATTGCACTATCTTTTATCTTCACTGAGTGACTGCGTGTTCTATTTGGCTTCATAATATCTTCCTACCTGATCCTTACTACATTGCTGCTATTAGTCATTGTGCTTTCACTCTATTGAATACTTGACTATGGCTTGCCTAGTGTAGTCTACCTTCCGCTGCAGGGTAATAGGTTTATTTCTATCATTTGTCTTCATAACTTCCACGTTTTGAAGACTTTCATAAAAATCGCCTATTCACCCCCCTCTAGTCGATATAACGCACTTTCAGATGTATGTTGTCATCCCTCTAGTGGTGTCATGTGAACGTCGACTACATGACACTTCACCATTGTTTGGGCCTAGAGGGAGGCATTGGGAAGTAATAAGTAGATGATGGGTTTCTAGAGTGACAGAAGTTTAAACCCTAGTTTATGCGTTGCTTCGTAAGGGGCTGATTTGGATCCATATGTTTCATGCTATGGTTAGGTTTACCTTAATACTTCTGTTGTAGTTGCGGATGCTTGCAATGGGGGTTAATCATAAGTGGGATGTTTGTCCAAGTAAGGACAGCACCCAAGCACCGGTCCACCCACATATCAAATTATCAAAGTACCGAACGTGAATCATATGAACATGATGAAAACTAACTTGACGATAATTCCCATGTGTCCTCGAGAGAGCTTTACTTCATATAAGAGTTTGTCCAGGCTTGTCCTTTGCTACAAAAAGGATTGGGCTATCTTGCTGCACCTTATTTACTTTTATTACTTTCTACCCGTTACAAATTACCTTATCACAAAACTATCTGTTACCGATAATTTCAGTGCTTGCACATACTACCTTGCTGAAAACTGCTTATCATTTCCTTATGCTCCTCGTTGGGTTCGACACTCTTACTTATCGAAAAGGCTACGATAGATCCCCTACACTTGTGGGTCATCACCGTCATACCAAAAAAGCAATGCCAAATCCATAAATCCTCGGATGCTACGGCCTCTAGAACAATTGTTGCATCAGGATACTTGCCACAATACATTCCTTACCATGCCTTGGGGCAATTTTTCCAAGTCCAATGCATACAATCAATGCTACCTAGCATGCCGGGCCAACCTCTCCTCTCATTGGATGCCATCAATTTCTTTGTGTCATCTTCGTTGGGTGCCCGAAAATACCCAGGACCAAAGACACGGGTAATCACTTTTGCAAATCTACGCACAGACTCAATTGTAGTATCTTCACCAATGCGAAGGTACTCATCGTCATATTCAGCCGGGACGTTATATGCAATCACCCGCACAGCTGCGGAGATTTTTTGATATGCACTAAATCCCTTTAAGCCTACAACATTTCTTCTTTGAGTGAAATACCGGCAATTTGCCTCGCAAGCTTGAACAATTTTCACAAAGAGGGATCGGCGCATTCGATACCTTCTCCGGAAGAGGTGCGGTCAATATGTAGGATTCTCCGCGAAGTAGTCTTGCATCAACATCTCATTCCCAAGATGATGATTTCGAGGAATGCAAAGACGCCCGACGGTCGATCCTCGCCTCCTCTTCCGGTTCTCATCTTCGTGCTCCTTCACGGCAAGTGCCATGACTAATGTATGTTGCCAAAAGTTCGCAAGCATGGTCTCAACATCCGAGTCGTCCAATCAGACGAATCGAAGAGCAATAACTTCTCGCACGGGCTCAACTCCATCTACATGCGTACCGACGCGTCAATCAACTATACAGCTCGCAAAATTCACAAAAAACAGACTAACCGGTGGCGGGTGATCCCGGGCGGCGACGAGGGGGCGGGCTCGACGGTGGCCGATCCCCGGCAGCGGCAGCGAGGAGGGGCGGCTCCTCTCGCCGGATTCGAGGGGCCAGTGCAGCGGCTTGGCGAGGAAGGGTGTGGGGCGGCCCCGTGGCGCGATTCCGTCCGCAGATGTGGCCGGAATCGCCGGCGGCGGACGCGCGGAAGAAAGGGCGGTCGGCGGCAGAAGGAGAGAGGGAAAGGCGCGCGGGCTGAAATGTCCCTCCCGCCAACTGCTTCTCTGTGATGCAGGACACCGTAGCCGCGAGGGGGAAACCCGCGTTTTCCCGGGTTGAGGTCGGGATTTTGCCGTGCCCCTCAAAAAAATTTGCAGGCCGGGGCGGGATGCGGGGTCTGATCGGACAGGTTTTTCGCCCCTACCCGCATTTTGGCGGTTATTATGCGTGTCGGGGGCGGATGCGGGGTCTGCTAGAGTGCTCTTATGAAATATATGTCAAAAAAACATTTCAAAATGTAAAAAAATCGAGAAAAAAAATACTGCGTGTACATCCGGACATTATATGTGTGTGCATAAAGTTTCGGTGAAAAAAGACATTTTTTGTGGCATGAACAACAAAAACAAAAAATGCCTTGTGAATAGTTGTAATCAGGCATAAAAAAATTGTCTTTTTTACAAAGCCACAAAGAATGTCCTTTTTCATCGAAACTTTGTGCATGCACATATAATGTCCGAATTTACACGTGGGATTTTTCCTCATAATTTTTTAACTTTTCAAAATGTATATTTTCACAATGGGTGCATATACATTTATGAGCCAAAGCCAATTTCCATAGTAATGTAGTCTTCAAGCTGAAAGTAACACATCATTTCAAGAATATAATATGATATCTTAGCTGTGCCAAAAGTATAGTTTAATGAAAAATATCATGGGCACGACAAAAATAAGCTACAAGGAGGATGGTCGAGAGAGAATGTTTCAACATTGAACATTTACATATAGACATATATAATGGCGTGCCTTACATGGAAACAAGACAGTATAGGCAATTTGAAATACATGAACATGTTGCAAGCATCTTGTGGAGGCTTGACATTATATTAATCTTAAAGGACGACTATAGTGCAGAAAATTATGAATGGGCGGTCAACACTTAAAGATAATTAATGGTGAAAAAATATTTGCAAAGACAAGAGATAAGAGGAAGATTAAAGTCAGAGAGTAATACCTAAGTTTATGTTTTATCAAGACGAACCAGTAAAAACAATGATAGCATATTCACTAAGAAATAATGCATTTAATCCACATATTTCTATTTCTTCTAAAACCCGGCCATGTTTTTTCCGAGAAAACATTGACAAAATATTGTTTTTTTGGAGCTCCCATAGCTCAGCCAACTTAGAATTTTTTTTTCCCGCTCAAACATAGATGGCCATTCAATGAAGATTTTTTTTTTCATATCTTATATGCTTTAGTGAAGCTCAGTCTACAGATTAGATAATTTCTTTGTGTGACTTAAAAATAGTTAGTTATTTTTCACTCGACTGAGAAATTACAGAGTTATTTTTTTATGGCATGTCGATTGTGGTGGGGAATTAAGGTCGGCAATGTGCGCAGATATGTACTATAAAAGAACACTAGAAACTGTTACAATATATGAAGTAAATCCAGACTTGCAAACGTGCAGGTCACTGATCTAGTTATCCAAACAATAACATAATTCATGCTCTGACTTGAACAATTGTCCTTGACAATAAAACAATGTAAAAAGTGGCACGCCACTGTGCATACTTTATTGTGAAACGCAAACACAGTAATTGTACTGTGTGATAATTTGATGACATAGATCTTATTTGAAGGAGGCATATGCCATATATATGTCAAGCCTTGATCTTGAATCTAAGCATGGTCCTGATTCTTCACTTCTCCAGCAACATCTGAATTTTTTTTAGTAAAATCAAAAGGTAATTAAGTAGAGTAATAAAAAAAAGCCATTTCATGTTACCTTCATCCTGCATGCTTGCTGCATCTGCAGAAGGAGCATTGATCTTCTTAGCCATTTCTTCTTCTACAAGAACATAAAGTGGTAAGAAATATCAATAGTTTTTTTTGGAAAATGAATTAGCTGCTCGTTACTCATGTAGTCATGTGGCAGTGTACATCGTTTGGTACACAATACATACCATTTTCCAAGTTGCTTGCAGCATATCCAACTTCATCGTTGTCGTTTTCTTCTTCTGCAAAAAATGGACATTTTTTTAGCGGAAGCATAAGTTAATAAAACCAATTGCCTGGTGCATCAACAAGAAGTATGCTGTTTACTTTCTTGTAACCTGGTCTCAGTTTACAATATTCCACAAGGGGTTCATGTTCAGCTGATTAATTTTATTATTAATTATCGGAGGGAAGTTGACCATTAGCAAAATTGGACTTTGTTGAGGTAAATTCTAGTCAGCATGGGGTTCCAACTTGAGCATGTTTTACCAAAAATTAAGACATATATCTGTTGAATCTGTACAGATTGGGCAAAAAACATATGGCATAATGTAGTTTGGTACAAACTGATTAAGCAACTGACACATGATGGTATCTTTTGCACTTTTGACACATGAACAAGATCGAACATGTCACCACTATCTTTAGAGATTGACCCATCATACACTTATGAGCAACTATTTTGTATATATTCCATCATCAGATAAAATTAGATCCTATGCTAAGAACTGGAATTGGGTGTGAGAATTAACAAGGGCCGATGATCACATCATAGGGTAAAACATCAATTTTCCCTTCTTTTCAAGAGTAATACTCGTAGATCTTATAAAAAATATGTATGGATAAAGTACCTCCTTTCATGGTGCTTGCAACATCCCCAGTCTCTTTAAGTTCTTTTCCTTTTGACGGAAACTTTTTAAGTTCTTCTATGCCAACAAATAAGAATCATCAGCCAAACTGTTTTTCTTCTTCTAAACACTAGTGTTATTCCTACAACAGGATACAATCCAATTTACATACCTTGTTCCAAATTGAGTGAATCACTAGCAGTGTCCTTTCCAACATACTCAGGGATTGCTGGACCAAAAGGCATACAGCATTGGAATACATATATATCAGGAACTAGCTACTTTACTAATTCCATTGTAAGACAAATAGTTTCACTTAATAGGTCATCAAAAGGTTAATCTCACCAGGGATTTTTGTGTAAGGCCTCATAGGTAATGATCCACATGAGCCGTCTTCCTACAAATATGATTAATTATGAAAACCATGTTACAAACTAGTTTGCTTCTGTAGTTTGTCTTTGAAAATACCAGAAACATTTTAATCGAGGGGTTAATGATAAAATAATCCATGTAAACAATGTGTTCTAACCTTCCTGATATTCAGAGGCTTCGGAAAAGCAGGTTCGTCCTTGTCACCAAGCCCAAAAGCCCTTGCCACTCCCTCTATTGATCGGTACATCTGATTATTGTATGTATCAAAATATGTCTGAAACAATCGCAAACAAAATTTCAGCCTAGAATATTATCTTGTGAGACATAATTAAATTATTCATCAAAATCATATAAGCAGCCAGTCGACACTTTTGTGCAGATCTATTGCAAACCCAGCAAGTCTCTTCAAAGGTATTGTTATACAAATAACATAGTCTGATTTATTTTTTCTGGAGAAGTACATATAGAAGAGGCAGTTTAAGTATCGCCAGTCCTAAGGAACAATTTGGTCTAACAAACAAGCTTCACGCAACAATACATTAACAAGAAGTTATTACAATACGTCTACGGAAAATTGAAGATTACTTTACCCTATTGGATCAGATCCAATATTGTTTAAACAGAAATAACAGAAGGTTGTAGGAAGGAGAAACCTTGTAAATAGTTCCTGTACCCCGTCTATACTCTGTAACAGTAAACCATGAAGGTAAATTTTTCTGTTCAATACAAGCCTTCCTTCCCATGATCAAGGTCTGGAGCTTATCAACGGAGGATTGGAGATCTGGGGTATCTAACAATGACCTTGTTAGTCTGCCTCCAATGGATCAGAATATATATAGCTGAGCGCTATGTGCGTATATTTATAGAAGATCATTGAATATATCAAAAGAAATATTGTCCAATGAAACCTGATTAATATTGCATTACTTTTTGCCTAGGAAATGTACGATAAGATCTATATCTCACGGATTAATTAATGCCATTAATGTGCTGGAATAAATGTCCTAGCTGGATAATAATCATTACTTTGTATAGTTCACATTGTATTCTAGATTACCCTGTTAATGTGGATACCTAGTAGTATACTCTTTAGGTAAGATGTAATCTGTTGCTTGGTTCTTTCCCTCGGAGATGAGGGTGCCCAAGATCAGGCGAGCCACTCCAACGCATTCGGGAGACCATAGCAAGCAGGACATACGTGTGTACATATCCAATCATTTGATGTAGTTCAAGGGTGGATCTAATGAGCGGCTCAAAATCGAACAAGATTGGTGGCGGTGGGGATGCAATTAATCAAACTTTTGCGGTGATTTGGTATGCCTCATAGTCGACCTAGGATGTTCCATGCTAGCCGTTAACACTACTCCTGCTTTGTGCACACCCCTCCACCGTCAATACAAGTTCATAACGGGCTTGACGTGCGCCTCAAGAAACCCGAGTCATCCTAATATTGTCACCACCAACACTAGTGTCGTCGAGCACTTGGGTGGCACGGTGGACCCCCAGGCAACATATATATATATATATATATATATATATATATATATATATATATATATAAGGTGATAGCTATGCTAGCGATTCCAAGGAAGAGGGAGCGTGCATGTAACTACAAGAACTCTCATAAACATCATCACCTACATAATACACACGGTATGGCACAACGATTCTATTGGTAAAATGAAAAATTCCGTCCTCTTTTCGAGCAAGTTATGGCTTATGGTCCATGGAAATTATTAGTTGATTAAAATGTATTTTCTGAAGATAAAATAGGTAGGGTTGATAATGTTACTTGTGAATTTAGTAAGTTTGCATCCTTTTGATGGAGCGATTGTCAAAGATATCATAACAATTGTCAATTTTGTGTTCCTTCTTATTGTGCATCTGAATAATTGGTAAATGAACCTCAACATTTTAACCTAGGAAGCAAACCTATTTTGAGCACTTCCACGACTCTGAAAATAGCATTTATGTATGGTGTAGGTTTGGAAAGATAAATCAGCAACATTGCCGGAAATTCAATTTGGCTCCCGGGCCCAAAAATAATTTTTCAAATGTCAAAAAAACCAAGACACAAATTTTGAGCACATGCTCCCGGGCCCAAAAATATTTTTTCAAGTGTCAAGAAAATCAAGACAAAAAAATTATGTGATCTTAGTCACATCCAAATGCTACCTGCAAATTTTGAGGCAAAAAGGTTAAGCATTTTGGCCTGTGCAAAAAATAAATAAATTGAAGACCAAATGTCACGTCAATTTTGTTTTTTCACCGACGAAACATTGTTGCTCCGTTTCACATGAAGTATGTCAAGCATGCTTGCGACACTAACACCAACATCTACAAAAAAATCTGATTTTTTTACATTTTTTAATTTATTGTTCATCCAGGAGCATATGCTCCCGGGAGGCAAAACACCCCTCTCAAATCATTATAAATTTCGGGAGGGGCGTTAAAAAAATGTAAAAATTCTGATTTTTTTTTAGACGTTCGTGTTAGTGTCGCAAGCATGTTTGACAAATTTTGTGTGAAACGGTGCAACAGTGCTTCGTTGGTGAAAAAAATAAAATTGAGGTGACATTTGGTCTTCAAAATTATTATTTTTGCACAGGTCAAAACGCTTAACCTTTTTTTCTCAAAATTGGTATGTAGCATTTGGGTGTGACTACGATCACATAAAAAATTTGTCTTGATTTTTGACATTTGAAAAATTATTTTTGGGTCCGGGAGCATGTGCTCTCGGGTATAGCTGGCCAAACGGGCCGGGCAATCAAGCCAGCCCACAAGCACACCAACAAGGTCTGCCATGGGCCAGGCACGGCACAGGCTAAACGGGCCGTGCCCGGCACGCCTTGGGCAATGCCTGCCTCTAGAGGCTGGGCACGCGGGCCGGCTCGGCACGACCCGTTTTTAGCCCAATATGATCTAAATTACAGCCCAATATACCTAAAATATAGCCCAGTAGGCTGAAAAATATGCGGCCCAGCGTGCTAAACGTGCCACGGGCCGGCCTGTTTAGTAACCAGGCCTTGCCGGCGTGTGTACTGGAAAAAGAGAGGGGGAAAACGATGATCTTTTAGCCCAATAAGAAAGGAATCTACGATGATCTTTTTCCCCCTCTCTTCTGGAAATGGCTGGTATCAGACACGACACGCCTCCCGGAAAGAGCCGAGAAGGAAATTGTGGCGGCGCCGGAGGGAGATGCCAGCTGACCGTGGAGGCGGCGGCGTGGACCACGCGCCCATGGCATCGGCGGGCATCGTGGAAGCTCCCGGGGCGTGCGCGTCGGCTCCATAGGGCTTCCCCAGCCTCTCCAAGACCGGCATCCAGGTTACTACCCCCATTCCCCATTTCTTGGACGGAGGAGGTTCCTCCGGCCGGTCGACGCCGACGAGTATGCCATCGCCCGGCGCCGCGAGAACGGCGTGCTCGCGGTCGCTGCCGCCGGAGAAGAAGGCCTAGCCGGGGTCTCTCGTTGGCAATGTAGTACAATGAAGAGTAGGAAGTTCACCAACCGAATCAACCGGCGACAGATTTGGTATATATATACAATAGATAGTCACATATATACATACAGTTCGCTCATTTGACTTACAACGGCGAGAATCATCATTTTATTTACTCACTGCCTCTGTTGCAGCAGCATATATACTCGGTGGATTCTCATCCCATCCTGACATCCTCTCAGGTCTCCACTCTCTCGATCAGCTTGATGCCCGCCGCTTCCAAGATCTCCAGCGCTTCACAGCCGCAAACACACAGGTCAGAATCTCAGGATTAGTCATAACTCATAAGCATCACCAGAGTTGTTAATTTGCTTCTGCACTCACCAGGGATGTAGATCTCCGGCTCCAGAGGCCGGATCACCCCTTTCCTCTGGACCTTGTTCTGGAGCAAGAGCTGCAACAGAAGATGGGGACAAATTAACACATGTTTCTTTCTGATGCAGGTGTAAGGTGTGTGTGATGTGTGATGTGTTGTGATTGGGGTGCAGCAGTACCAGGGCTCCTATCGCTGCCGGTACCCCGACGGTGAGGGCCATGGCGGTGGTCGACCTGCCATTCTCGGTCTTTCCGAACTCCAGCAGCGTCGCTTGGTGCTTTTCGGTTGGTCGCCCGTCGGGGTACTCCACCTCGACTTCATGGTGGAGCAGTACCATATCCTGAATCGTGGGAGCAAAACAAAATTTTAGCTCGTCATGGTCCAAGTAAGCCAGTCTCTTTTAATTTATTCTGCAAGCCTGTTTATGATTGACATATGGTGTTGGAAAGCAATGTGAGATGTAGAAGTACAGGTTGGTCATTAAACTGTCAATCTACTACAATACTAATAAGTCTCTGCGCGTGAACTTTGGTGCTGCCAGATTCACAGTTGATTATGTCAAAAAATGATAAATAAAACTATTACTCTTGAGATCTTTGCCTCTTAAGTAACATTATGTGATTCTCTTCTCTGATAAGAAAACAGAGGTCACAGAGGCAGGAAAAAACAGAGTAGTGCTTCTGTTATATTGTTTGTACAAGAATAATTTCAATAGTTATATGCAATACATGAGACAGAACGACGATGAAAGATATTAAGTCTCACCTGCTCATTGTGGCCATAGGCCATTCTCTGTTCCATACGTTGGCAAATAACACTGAATGCACTTGAACAATCCTTAGGAATCTGTGTCTCCTCATGCAGCCCCAAGAACCTAGCAGGTGTAAGACCAGTTAAGTGATTCATCAGTTCTAACCGCGAATTTCAGAAGCAATGCTGATTGTTCCTAACATATTCTTAAATTATTTCTTGCAACCGTAGTCATTGCACATATATTAGATGTGCATGATTAAACTGGTACTTAAGCAGTCTGTAGAAGAGATGCAATTGGGACCCATAAAGCATAGGGATCAGAAACTAACTTGATGGTTTTGAGTATCTTGACAGCTAGTTCCTTTTCTTTGCAATGCCCAAGCATCATGAGTCTTGAAATCAGTTCATCGTCATGTCCTCCAGTTTCTTCACCATTTACCTTTGTGTTAGATGTGGATACATTGTTGACATTAAGGAGTTCGTTGAGAAAAATCCTATATGTTGGGCGATTAGTTTCTTGTAGCAGTGGATGATTTTCAGCATCAAAAAACCCAATTTTCGCCAGGATAGCCATGATCTCACTAAATCCTGTGCAAATGCAACAAAAATATTACACACTGCAAAGAGAACAACTCAGTGAAAAAAAAATATCAACACTTACCTTCATAACGAAGAGTGGACCTATATACGGTAGATGCTTCTTTGGAGATCCCATACAGGTCTCCATACATCAAGGAATTTCGATTTGGCAAGTGTTCCAGGGCAAAAGCGGGAAGCTCTGGTAGTCTGAGCCTCTTTGCTGACTCGTATAATTTACTACCTGTGGAAGTGGTAAGTAAATGATAACAAAGAACATATATAGTAGGTAATAATTAAATATGTACTCCCGAAAAACTAGACCCATTTCCTCGTATTTATATTGCAGGCATAATATATCATTGTTTAGCTGTTTCAACACCTTGTCACATTCCATGACATGAAAAGGGATTGCCAACTGTTTCATGTCCAGTGTAAAGTTAATGTATACACTAGAGAAAATTAGCTCCGCACCGTTGCAAAATCCAAAGGATGTACAAATTGGAAAATACCACCACATGTGAGGCTGCTAAGTGGGCTCTGAGGCCACATGTTAGTGACACAGCTATGTATTTTCTAAGTCAGGTGATCTTCACAGCAGCAGGGGTGCAATTGGCCCGATGGATTAAGTATAAGGTTAGCCTTTGGTTCAGTAAATTTGTGTGGGTAAACCAGTCTATTGAAATGTGCTACCTTTCTCTGGGCAATTGAAGAGATACGAGACTAACTTACCATCCACATTGATGGTCTCTCCAAGAAATTTGTAGACAGCAGGATTTCTTCCTGCTCGGATGGCACCTGCTGGACTCCAACTAAGAACAAGACAAATACCAATCAGAATTGCTGGTAAAACTTGTTTCATGCAATATTGTGCCACAAGCTCCAGGCGTGGAGACCTTGTTACACTACTAGTCACTATAGTTGAATTTACCTGAACTTGTAGGCCAGTGGATTGTTTGCGGCAGCTGGAGATGGAAGTCCACCACAGAAAGATGTAAAAGCCTTTATTTTTCCATTCTGAGCATGTGCTTCATCAATCATTTTCATCGACAACATGTGATCTGTACAGGAAATATATTCACAACATGTTCTGTCATGCAAAGTTGCTCCATGATGAAAGAACCTTTTCTTCATCACATAATATGCAATGACCATTTTTAGAGCTGTCTACATATATATGCTGGCCGTTATATTTAGCAAGTACCTATGCCAGGATCAAGGCCCATTTCGCAGAGTATAGTTACACCTGCTCCTTGCGCAGCTTGCTCCAACTTTGACATGGAATCATCAACATAGCTTGCTGTGACCAAGTGCTTCTTGAGCTATCATAGAGAAATGTAACTCAATCAGCTGAAGCAATTCCTCAATTTCCATATAGCACCACCGGTGGTTTAAGCTTACCTCTATGCATACTCTTGCAATGGCAGCATGAAAACTAGCAGGCAGCAAGCTGACTACAACATCAACCTGTAAGAGGAACTCCAATCATTTATTAATCTGCAACAACTTATGCACTCTCTTGACAAGAATGAGTAGAAATCTCTATCCTGAACTGCAAACATTTAAGGTTTGTACATGAAAAGTTAACCTAGGAATGCCGACAGAGTTGGGTATATTTATTTGTGACAGAAGTCTGGCCTCTTATGCTCACTGTAAGACACTATGAAAAGTACTAGTAGGAGTATTTGTTCACTAGAGAAATTAAATATCAGAGTTAAAATACCTGTGAAACAAGATTCGAAAGACTTTCAGTATCTGAAACATCGAGCTGAGCTGCTGTTGCATTCTTTATTCCGTCAACTGTCTGAATGCAGAGAAACAAAAACATGAGATAAGTAACGGACTAATGGTTGAATTCTACAAATACATATTCGGTTTGGACAAAAATGACAGCATAATGAATTTTCCAAAGCTTATTAATATCGAAAAACATGATAAAATTAACACACATTTTTTGCAACTAAAGTTTGCATAAGAGCTAAGGAGCGCACTGTACTGTGAGATTCACCTCTTCTGCATCTTTTTGATACAGAGATGCCACGACAACATGTACTTGGTCGATGTTTTGGTAAGATGTTAGAAACTCAGCAGCTGGCCGACAAACTCTCCCAGCTCCAAGGATTAAAACCTTTGGTCCTACTTTATCCATGCTGTCATCAATTCCGCATTCGCTGACTCTTCCTATCTTTAGAGATATCTCGGCAGCATTAGGATCTCCACGGTGCGCATTAGCGATAGAAGTCAAGGAATCGATGATCTTGTCTAATGTAGTCGTATCATCTGCTCCTACCTGTAGAATGAAATGCACCATATGTTTCAGTACAACATCAAACAAGGTTGTCTTTAAAGGCATGAATTGGTGAGGGGTGCTAAAAGTTAAAATACATCTTTATATTTTATAATCCAACATGCATTGCATCGAGTACATATGTTAATTATTAAGGTAGGTTTATATGATGTATCAGACCTGTGAGTCCTGATACTTTTTTCTGCGGAAGAGTTCCTAACGTTATAAGAAAAAAGACAAATTTCAACATGTTGTTAAATATCTGCTGTATTCAAATGCCAGAATAGTGGGGTCAAAACGTAGTACATGCATATTAAGAAGGAAGCTAAGAATCAAAGGTATACTGTTCAAAAGAAATAAAATGCTCCCAGAAACAGAGCCCTTCAGTTTCTTCCTTCCTCGAATCACTAGAGGAGCTGCGGTAGCAAAAATACTTACAAAACTAGCACACCAAAGAGAATGCCCAAAAATCATTTAAAGGAACACAGCTCAAAAAGGAAAGGAAATGAAAGGAAGGGATCACAAACTGATTCATGGCAGTCCAAGCTTCCAGTTAGTTGAAGTGGGAGCTCGGAAGACTCTGGTTGGCACAGGAAGGGGGTAGAGACTGAACATTTATAACCCACTCAATGATTGAGTGCAAAATATCTAAAGGGCTATGTTTGCCCAGACGTACTGATCTCTTCTTCTTATTTTTGTCTTTTTATGAGGTGATGACCCGATAGGGATGGGCAAAGGCGGTCCAAGAGCTGTTAGATCCAACTTCTTTCCTTTGATGTTCTTGGACACCTTTCAATTATTTGTACTATTTGCTTCATTATGCTCAGTAATTGATCAAAATGGCCACCAAAGGTTACCATCCATCATGCCCCAAACATAAGTTACCATCCATCACTATCAGTTCCACACTTTTCCTAGATGCAAAAGAGAATCAGAAGTCTAATTCTGTGACAACTGACGAGATGTCTTTTGGTAGGCCATCTTAACCTCCTTGACTATAAGTCTTTTGATGTATGCTTGTAGAAAATAATTTCTCTAAAAAGACTAAATGTTAACTACCAAACTAGAGACAGCATGTTGTGTTTACTTCGTACTGAAAATAGTTCACATCAGTAAGAAATTTTATTGCTTACTTCAAGCTCCGAGTAGGACATATCATCGATGCTTTGTCCAACATCACATTTAACCAAGTGAAAAGAACCCCCAGCTGTCTCAATGATGTCCAAAGCTTCATTTATAAGGAACTTATCAAAGAGGTGGCCACAGAGAGATACCTGTTTCATTGATCGACAAATTGTTAGGAGGCAACTGAGAAGTCATTATAGAGCAGATCATATGCAAGTTCCAAAAGATTTAGTTAAAAAAAATGCACCACAATATTAGAGAATTATATTTCTAACCAGGGTGGTGTACTTCTTATCAGGCAATGAATTCGCTGGAGTTGGTGGCAATTCTCTGCATAAGAGCAAAACAAAATGTTTAAAATGACATTATAGGCAGTAAACATGCTCGGAGATGGTAAATATTTACAGTACCAGTCATCAGTCATGACCAGAAAACTGTGGTACTGTAAACATAACTAATGCTAACAAACAGCAAATAAAATAAAAAACACAATGTTCAAAAAATATTCTGAAACATGGTAGAAAGATAGACATATCACTTCAGACTGGAACTACATCCTGCCCACTGTCCAGTATGATTACCTATTTTCTTCCCTTTACAAAATATATCTGGGATCTCAAGGATTCAGGACATGAACAGAAATACATATCCTCTGAAACTATCACACAGAATTATGACAGTTATGATGAGAAATATTTGAAACTTACATCATAGTCTTTCTCATCCGAGGAATATACTCATACAGAGGAGTGAGTTTGCCAGCATATGCGATGCAAGCTCTTCTCAAGTGGGAAGGAAGCTCCAGCAGTCCCTTAGCTGAGGCCAAGCTGGTAACAAATCTAGATAATATGTCTCCAAAATGCTGGGAGGCCTGCAGAGTTTGAGTACAAGAGAATAGGAGTCATCTCATAGCAACAAATTGGAACTGCAACAAAAATAGTTTATTTTGTCTTATCATAAATTTCTCACCTCTCTGGAAAACTCTGTAGGCAGAATGTCAACAGCTAAGCAGATCACACCATCGCCTTCCATATCATCATGGTACAAATTAGTCGAAGTATCATACCTAGATTTGCATATCCAAGGTGATTTGTCAAAAAGTCACTGGCTAAGCAAAAACCACCAATTATGAAGAAGCAGAACCAAGTATCTGTGTGGTACTACTCCAGAGTATTTACCAGAGACGGTTCTATTTATTTATAATTAACAGACAATGTGCAGAAGATTACAAGCAATTTAAATTTATGCATCCGTAGTGAATATCCAAAATTCTTACCGGAAGAAAGGCCTCTCTATTGATGTACTTCTGTTCACAAATTCTATGGAACCTCCAATGTCACAAGTTATATCAGAAATGCCAACCAAAGGGCACCCATTCTTCATCAACTGTTGTAACTGGTCAATGCTCAATAGTCGTGGGAACCTCCTCTCCCAGTACATACAGTTAACTGTAGTAATGCATGGATACAAATTAGAATATAATGGCTAAACGCCTAGTATCTCTACTGCAACAGATAGAAGATTTTTTATGAAATCTCCATGATTTATAAGTGTAAACTATACACCCTGCAACCGGCACCTCATTACATTAGCAACTCTTATCAATGCCAGCATCAGTTTAGAACCAGCACTGTTCTGTGCTATGCACTTCAATGCATAGTATCTTTATATAACTAAGTAACATAGATGATGAAAATCCTATGGTCTAGACTTGTTTTAGAGATTGTGCCAAAAATACAGAAACGTAACAAAATTGAGCAATATAAAATGAAAGCAATGAGTTGTGGACCATACCAATGGCAGATGCATATGGAGCAATCCTTTCATGAAAAACAGGGCGATAGTGTTCTGGATGAGCATAATAGTCAGCCTACAGACAATGTCGATGAAAGATTTCTTGCAGTCAGGCTACTGAAAAGCGAAGAAATACTAATAAAACAGAAGAGATGGAAACTTTTATTTGGCTAACACCGTAGTTCAAAATTTACGAAGAGAAGCGAAAAAGATCAGTAGTGGATTGGTTAACAGGATTAGGAACGTGAGGGCATGATCAATGTACTGTAAACAGGCAAAACATTTGAACATCTCTTTGCAGCAAATTAGTTGAACGATGGAAATTGTATTATGAGAAAAGGGTATCATGTTATGACAGGATAAATATTTTATTTCAGTTAAGAGTAATGACCTATGCTGATGTTATTATACCTTAGCATTTCCTGTTAGAAACTAAAAACCAACATTTATTTGATAAACTTAAGAAATGTGCATTACTTTGTCAAAACATCTGCTGGGATCCTTGGGTGCGACCATGTCTTTAGATGTGACAACACATCCATATAGTTGGAATGCTCTCCTGGTTGACTGATGATGTGGAGGCAGACTCTTTCCCTGTATAATTTCAGGAATAGAGCAAACTGAGATATATTAAGCTAGACTTGCAAAAATAATAATCAAATACTGACCCATAACCACTCAATCAGTAACCAAATTTGCTAGCATAGATAACGATCCACAGGTGGCAGAGATTTCGTTCATGTCAATGGGGACAAAACCAAACTCACAAAACTAACGTTGTTTTTATATACTTATAGATGTGAAATTTCTGGCACAAAAGGAGTAATACCGCAGAGAGCTCGGGGAGTTTGTCAGCATCAACGAAGGTATGTGGCAATAGCTTGAATATCTCTTGTGCGCCCTGCGAAACTGTGACACATGAAGTTATAAATGTGAGTAAGTGTGCTGCAACCAGTAACCTGAATGTGAAGGCAACGAAAGTGAACACTGGGATTACCATTTCCGGATCCGGTGAATGCAAATACAATCGGACAAATTCCAGATGGAAGTCCATATGTTGCTATCTCTTCACCAATGGCGATGACTGCAGCCTTGGCTGCAGCGAGGGAAGGATACATGTGGGATTGCCCCAGAGACAGAAACGGAGTCGAGTACCCAAGGCTCAGATATCCTGAAATTGCAAGGGAAATACTTTAGGACAATGCATAACTAACAGTTGCTTACGACAGAACAAGTTGCCCTTCATGATAAGTCGAGATAGCAAATTGGAGCATCGCAGGCATAACAATATCAGGTCAGGGCATGAACTGAGAAATAAAACAGTGTTCTTACTCTGCCCGAGACCGTGTAAGAAGTCTATCAGTCCAGCTCTGCCAGCAAATTTCCCAAATGCCAGCATCCTTTTCCCATCGTCGTCGACAATTAGCTCATAATCAAACAAGGACACTCTTTCCTCCATGATCTGAAAAATATGAACCAGCAATTTAGCGCACCATTTCCTCCTCAGAAATGCGTATGCGCTATATGATAACTACCTTATCTAACAGCGGCATATTTTCTTTCTGGGCCTTGTGGGTGTGCGAGAAGAATGCATATGCTCTATCCGGAAGAATCATCTCTAACTGCACAATTAAACACATCTCAGACCGTTTCCACAACTGTAATACCGTCACAAACTGTAAATCAAAGTCAATTGGAGCATCTAACTTAATTGGTTACAATGTTACCTTTGGTTGCTTGATGCCTACGATGAGGCCACACTCTGACAGATCTTCTGAGATCTCGCACCCAGCATCCTCGTACTGAGCATCGTGGTGGATCCTCTTGGTGCTTGGCTGCACGATGATCCGGTTCACGCCGGATTCGCGCTTGCCTCCTCCGAGCACAAGACGAGCGCAGTGGGAAGGAGTTAACGGCGCCCTCCTCTCCCACATATTGACGGTCTCGGCGAGAATGCCGATGACTCCATTTCCCAGCAAGGTGTCATTTCTCTGAGTGAAAATGAACGAACATTCCATTGGTGTCAGAGAGTTAATTATTATCACAAAATCACCCGATTTAATAGCAACAGCCGAAGGGATTGTGCCACGCACTTCAGTTGTCTCGGACCCCATTGTGGATGAGCGCAATTAAGTAGGCGTGACGATCATGAACCTGTTGGGGTCTGCTCCAGAAACTGAAAAGAGTGCCTCACATTCGGATTCAGGTTATCAGAGTTTTTGTTACAGTTAGATTTCCTGCCACAAGAATACAGTTAGCAACAAACACCACACTGCATACTACTACACCTGGTAGTGGTTAATCAAGAATATGTGTTATTCGTATGCTGTTCATTTTTCAAACGTGTGTAAAATAGTCATGTTCACTTGAGAAATAAATAGTATATCTGTTTATTTTCAAGAAAAGGAACATGACAAGTGATACGGAGTTACTAGCCACTTGAAATGCGCTTTTCTATTCATGAGAAATGAAAAATGAAAATGTGCGTCCAACACTATTTTTTGCTTGCTAGAGGTAACTGTCAGATACTATACTAAGATAGACAACTAGCTAGTAAAATTGGGGTAAAAAAAACAAGCTAGAGTAGTAAATTTGTGCTATCCAGCCGAAAGTTACTATCTCGTAAGCAAAGCAGAACATCACACGGCCATGTGTAATGTCC